ATAAAAAAAAAATAAAGAAAGAAAATGTTGGAGACTGACCCTCGTGTCAGCCATTTTTGATTCTATGTAATCTTTATCTTCGATAATCGCAGCAATTTCTGAATCGTGATCACCATTCAGTGATCTATCGTTCAGATTAGCTAATAACTTATTTGGATCAATACGTTTTCCATTTGTGAACTGATCAAAAGTGAGCAATAAAAATGAGACCAGCATCACCTGACCCGATTATAACAGTCCTATCGTCAGCAATCAAAAGGCTCGAATGGATTAGAATCTCTTCAGTGACATAGGCACCAGTAGGATCATTTTCATAATCGCCTGCTAAATCGGATTCATCAAACAGATTTGGTGCAATAAGCTCATCCTCGAGAACACCCAAACCCCTTTGAATAGCCGAGTAATCAATTTTACCATATGATCGAAGCGCATAAAAGCCAATGTACCTTTCTGGAGTAGCACAGCCAGCTTTTTTAATTTGCTCGATTATTGAATGTTTTCCGCGACAGATAGATTGATACTGATAATGCATGAGGAGACTTATAATGTTTAGAAAAAAATATACATATACATATACTGCATATTTGTGATTAAAAATTGCGACAAACTCGTAGGTTATTATACCGTATAATCGCAGAATCACTATCGTCAAGTGCAACAGGAAAGGCCGGAATCAACGGTAGAGAAACGATGATTCTGAATTTTTCATCATTCGCGTGGGCCCGAGCGATTCTTTCAACAATCGCCTATAAAATTCGCAAATTCTTTAATGCTGTATCAGAAATTATTTGTCAACTCCTCCATTTAATAATAACCTTCCCAATAAGATTTTTAACCGTATGGGAATCAATTTCTTTTGTCGCAGTTACTAAAACAAAGGTTAACGGATTGTATCCATGATAGTTTAGGTTAAAGTTAGAAATGTTATTAAATCAAAATACGTACTAAAGGATTGACTCTCAATATATATGAAGTGTTTTGCATTCATGATGGTTTCAATATATGCATTTTGGATCGAATTCTGAATCAATATGTAATTATTATTATTAACAATGCATAACATGTGTAATTGGGAACAATAAGGTATTTATATGCCTGCATTGAAATTAGAAGTGAATCACCTCAGATTCCGAGATACCGTGACTCCACGTAGAACTACTTCTCAATATTTGAACGGAGCACGAGCCTCTTCCGGAATACGCTCTAACGCTCCATTCTGAAAAATTGTGATTGCATTCGTCTTGATCGGAAATCAATAAAGGATATCGGGGATCGTTTTTAGCATATTTTTCCTTTATATAATTCCACCTTTGAATGAAACCATAAGCCACATCTAAAGAAGGTTTCCCGATCTAGATATGCGGTTACGAAACGCTTTTTAATGTAAAATACTGTAAAGAAAAAAAAAATTTTTTTTTTTCCAAACGAATATTGTAAAAGATCTTACGAGACCAATTGATACGCTGTGAAACGGCATGCGAGCGATTGTTTTTTTGTCAAGTAAGGATGAGGCCCAATTATGAACTACGTATGAAATTGGCTTTTAGATACTGTAAATACGATACGTGCATGCAGTATGACACGATAGGTTAGGGGTCACCTTCAATATAATCTCTGACTCTGGGATTAGAGTAATCCTGACCGGGCCATATTGAATAATGTTTTGAGGCATGTGAGAAATCTGAAAGTTGATGAGCGTGAGTATCGTAACGCCCGAAGCATAAATCCAGACCACCAATGAAAGACATGTGGCGATCGATAACAATCGTTTTCTAAAAAGAGGTACGTATTGATATATTTTAGAAAGTAAAAGAATGAAAGAAAGGAAGAATTAATGAATGAATTAATGAATAAACAGCATGCAGTACCTCATGAATCTGAAATCGAAAGATGTGGAATAAAAAGTCATTGCTATATTAATTGGGTTTTAATGTGTGAGCAAATCTTTCAAGTGATTATATAGGTTACCGCCCAAATAAACTGTTCGTCCTCATTTTTAGGATGTCTTTGAACTAACAAGAAAAAATTATTAACAAATGATTCTCGCAAAAAATTTAAAAAAATTTTTTTACCAAGAATATTTTGATGTAAACCCTGCAAGACCTCTTCGCTATGCCTAGAATTCAATGATAAGTATTTTGATTCATTGTAAAGCACGATATATATCTTAACTCCTTCCTCGGCCTTCTTTTTGAGAATTCTATCAAGACGGTATTCCCCGTTCATACAAGGAGGTCTTCGAAGATACTGAAAGCAATAAAAAAAAAAAGAGGATTCGTATGACATGCATCGAGCCATTTTACATAATTTGTTGACTTGACCTAACCCACCAATTCCGGGGAGAGCCACCAGCCTTCAATAAGTATTTCCGCTTTTGCGGCCATGAGGGCCTCGGAAACGGCATAAAAGTAGTTCTTTCCGTCGATGTACCATTTTACATGTACATTGTCTCTAACTTGAGAAGAAGATCCGTACCTAAAACACCTTTTAACCTCATCTGGTGATCGGTTGTTATTGTTGAAAAATTTCCCAAGAAAGTGATGGTTATGTTTTAAGAAGTTCATCTTCGGAACAAAGTATTTTGTTCAAATTAAGGAATACCTAGAAAATTTCTGTTGCAGAAGTCGTAATTATGGTAATGCATAATTAAAACGAGTTAAATACTTGATTAACATTAGCCATGATGAATTTAGGTATCTTCATCCGCAGAAGTGGTGGCGATGTTCATACGTATTACAATCTCCAAGTTAAGTTAAAGACTACGGTTTTTGTTTTCCGGAAGAGGGTTTAAAATTGATTTCCTCCGTTCCGTCGAATTTTTTTTCTAAAAGAAAGGAAAAGCACTAGAGTCCGAGAAATCTGAGAATTTCGCAGATCATGTGGTCAAGTCGTCGAATCACAAAGGTGGTTAGCTTAACTTTGGGCAATTTCATTTTCTAGCCACCGTATTTGTGGCTTTTGTGAACGCGAGATAACCATTGTTTGTTTGGAAAATAATAATAGGAAACTAAAAATCCGTCGCGAACATCTAATAAGCCTTTTATGAAGCCACCACACCGCACATGCCGTACGAAAAACTTCTGTTGAGAATTCTAGATGAACCATTCAAATGTATATATAAAGTATTTGGTAAAAACACGAGATCATAAAATAAAATGAGCGACGAGGAGAGATTGGTGGATCCGGGCGTCAGAATTGAGATTAAGGGGGAGTATGATGCAGATGAGAATATACCTCATAATAGAAAGGAAATTACGAAAATTGTGTGTTCTCCGAGATTAAATTATGTTGCGACTTGGAGCGATTACGACAGGACAGCTTACATATATCATATCGCCGAAAGAAACAATCATCTATCGCATTATGAAGATTTATTCGATGTCAGTGTACTCGGAGAGGACCTCTTGGATGCGGAGCTATCAGATTTGTCAGACTCCAAGGATATTGTTTTGAGAACTAATCGTGACGCAGGTTAGTGTGACCAGCACCGATATTATTAGGTTGACGTAACGCACTAATTTTGCATTTACAAATAAACCAGTACTAGTTAACTTGACGAGCAAAAGAAGGACTATACTAAAAACCTCCAACAATAAAGCGGAAATAATAAAAAGTACATTTCTCACGGACGGGGATTATGTGATGATTGAGACCGATTACTCAATCACGACCGGCTACCTATTCTCGATTTTGGATGGGAAGCTTAAAAATGAATTTAAAGTTCCCGAACAAGATGCTGATAATATTAAACTTGATGTCAATGGAAAAATTTTTATATATAATCGCGCCGTACACATTCTCATGCAATGGGACATAAAAACTTTAAAGCTTGAGAAACAATGGGTCTTACGATGGAATTTTTCGCCACATAATCTGAATTTTGTAACGAATGAAAGTTCCACTCTTTTGGCAATTTGGAAATACGAATTTATATATATCTATTCGATCGAAACGCAGTTTATAGTGGCTTCTGGTAGGCGCACCTTACCACGGTACATCATCCATACGCGTAGCGTATCATGATCTGACTTTCAATTTTATCGTTTAATACTTACTGTACGTACATGTTAGGTTCTATTGATGGTGACATAAAAGTGTGTCACTTTCTTTCTCCTGGCATCGGGGAACGTCTGTTCGTCATCTACTATAAGAAATATAGGATGCATTTTTCTTTATTGGATCCTTATACTCTCGTTAATCCGACGGATGCCAGAAAGTTGATAAATCTTGAATCCAACAATTATTCTAGCGTCGAACTAGCTTGGCCGTATGTAATTAAGGACAATAGATATTTCTATGTTTTTGAAGGGGAATTGTACATTCGGAAATTGGCTGGGGGAAATTGGATCGAATATTTGTGGAGTGAGCTGGGTGATTTTAACCAAATCAGTGTGCATCCACTTGAAAAGAAGGAAGAAAATTTAATGTGGGCTTTATTAAGCAAAATCCATAATTCGCTGGTGGACAAAAGTAATCTGGATTTTATAAAGGATTCGGATACTTACAGAGGGTCTTCGTATCAATGGAATGTCGAATTCGCGTCCGATAAGATTTTGCTCAGCGCAAAAAGGTACGATCGCGTCAACCAAGAGTGGAGACCGGTCGAAGATAGTCATAACACATACTTGTTTAAATCCGAACATAGCCATATGTGTAAGACGAGTGAATATGTCATTGCAATCCAACTCACCGAAAAAGAAGATTTACTGATAGTTACACGCAGCGGGATATTTATTTGGACCGTTGATTCCGAGGACGACATACAGTTGCGACATTTCTGGAAACCTGCTCACAAAAAGAGTGACGAGAAAATTTTTTTTCACGAACTCACACCAAACTACTACGCACTTGTGACAAAAAAACTTGATTATAAAATTCAGAGTGACTCGGAGTTGGTCAAAGATTTCAGAGATCTGTTTAAGACGGGCCTTCACGGAAAATATATAATGGGAGAATTGTTAAATTCAAATAAGACCGAATTAATTGAAAAAATGTTGGACTCCCTCGTTCAATTCACCATTGAAGATGGCGAGATCTCGAATATTCAACTATTAAGCATCGTCGCCGAATACTTTGTCCAATTATCACAAAACTATCCTGACATCATCAACAAATTTTTGGCCCAGGTTGCTTTCTTTGTACCCGGGGACAATCCCCCATTCGAAATAGTTGAACACGATTCCACATCTAAACATCGACAACATTTTGGCGAATATATTAATCTTTCTTCGGTCAATCCATTAAACAGGCTCACTCTTTTTATGCGTAAGACCGTTTTCACGAGACTTGTGTTGGCATCGTCGAAGAGATTTCTAGCATTTTTCACCAACACCATTTTTCAAGTGGAGGAAAAAAAATCCACCATTAAATTGGTTTTTCCTTTACCCGGTCTTACCTGCTATCCCTCAGAATATGTAACATTAAAAGAGTTGCTCGCCCCGCAGGTTAACAGTTTTACCGAGTATGATAAGCTCGATTTGTACAGATGGTGGAACGGGGAAGCGTTGCTGGATTTCAAATGGAATACCTATGGAAGAAAGTATTACTTGTTTATCTGGTTTATTTACACGATATTTCTCGTATGTTTTGTAATGGCAGTGACTCTGTCAACTCAAATGAGTTGGAGCACTCTACGAAATCTCTTTGTTGCAACAATTGTGCTTGGGTCATGGCATCTTATTTTTGAAATTCGTCAACTTTTTTTCGACAAGAAAAAATATATTTCCAGTCCATGGAATTACTTTGGTAAACCACGTGTTGCATGCGCTTTGAAAAAGAAAAAACGGCAAAACCCTTGGCTCATTCCGTTCCTCCACCATATTCAGATCTAGGCGCATTTCTCTTCCCAATGATTAGTGCCTTAACATGGCTCGAATACGGCTCGATCCCAATCTGGCTGGTTACCATCTCAACATTATTGCTGGAACTCAAGTTCTTGTTCTTTTTTAGAGCCATAAGCTCCCTCGGAATTGGAATTTACTTTTCGATGATGATAGGAGTTGCTCGTAAAGCATTTTCCTTTATACTTATATTAGGATTTATTTTGCTTGCATTTGCACACTCTTTGCATCTTCTGTTACGGCCGACCGGGAGTTATTCTTTAACAATCCCGAGCACTTCAGGCGATCCAAATGATCCGTGGAATTTGGTGACCCAATTATATGCCATTTCCCCGAATGGCACCATCGACGAAACTTCTACATTCATCGATCCTCCCGAGAGCAATACAAACATGTTTTCCACGCTCTACACAGCAATATTGGCCGTGTACCTAATGTTAACGGGTATAATTTGCACTATTATTCTCTCTCTCTCTTTTTTTTTTTGAATGCGATTGTCTTCTCTGAGATACGGAATAACATGATAATTGCGTAGGCGACTCAAGCCCCATATCTTCTTGGTCGTTAACCGAAAATGTCACCTTAATCATTATACTCGTCATTTTCTCCTTTTTCACGACAATTTATTTGATAAATTTGTTCATTGGGTTGCTTAGCAATGCAATTAGCGTGACAAGCAACAATGAATCCTTCTTGCTTTTAAAAGCCGAGGTATGTCCTGAACTTTCAATATATTGAAAAACAGATATGGCAGAATTTTTAATAGAATTCATCTCTTACAACCGTTTACAGATATTGGCCGAAATTGAGTTGTTTTACTTGTTACCTCATCAGAGAAGAAAACCCAATTGGTTTCCAGAGTTCTTGTAAATATCTTTATTTTTTTTTTAATATATATATATTCACGGAAATATTATCACTTGATTAACAGTCATTGTCGCTTAGTTTTTACGTCGTTGAAGTCAGAAAATTAAAAGACATCATTATCTCAGTTCAAAACAACAAATATCCTGACTCAAACTCTCCATACATCTCACCAAGGCTATTGAAGTTGATTCAGATGAAAGATAAAAAAGCCGAAAAGGAGAAAGAGCTCGAGGATCACGCGCAAAAGTTTAAAGAAAACGAGGAAAGGAGGCATAAAGAAATCGAAGAGATTCGAGAGTTGATTATGCAGTTGAGTCAGGAAATACGGCGGGAAAAATAGTCGAGTCGGAGAAAAGCGTAACAATGCTCTCGTCATAATTACCACTTTTTGATTCTTTTTTTTATCAACAATGACTCACCATTACAAACCAATATTGACCCCGTTCGTTTAACATGAGGCGAGACACTTCCATCAAAGAGGGTCCAAATTATAATCATACGGAATGTTGCTGTTAAAGATGACAAATATTAGGTTTCTTACTTATTTCGTGAATAAATTTAGTAGAATCATCAACTGAAAATGAACCAAATTTCCTAGTAAAAAAGGTCACCTTCAAATGACTATTATTATAGTTGGAAATACTTATTATTAAGACCTTTTTTAGCTATTTTCATTAGGCTGTAAATTTTGATGGTAATGGTTGTCATTTAGATTTTGAATTAAATTATTCATTTTATTAATATTAAGAATGTATTAAGAATGTACTTCTCCAAACATTAATATAAATGAGATTTAGTAATTTCATTAAATAAATTTATCCCATTATAAGGCAAAAGAATCATAAAAAGATCAATTATTTGTTTCGGTTAATGAAAGACAACTGTCAGTATAATTCCTCTAATTAGATATAAGTAAGTTGAACGAAATCATAAACACTTATATTAAAAGAAACTTCATAATGAAAGGAATATACTGTAGGTCATATGAAAATCTAGGATTCGGTATAAATTATCTAACTTACAAAATTAGAGTTAAAAAATGGAGTTTAAAATATGTAAAAACTCATTTTTTTCAAGTTTTTCAAGTATTAAAGGATTATTTTACTTGTATTAAAACTTTGTTAAAATTAAGCTTTCAATATTTTAAAAAGTTTTGATTTTTGATTTTAATTCCATTTATTATTTTTGATTTGGAATATTTTTTTTAAAAAATATGTATATTCATTTAGTTAATTTTGTATTATATCTATTTTTCATAATAGCTTAAATAATTAATTAATTGATTGATATCAATAGTTTGATGATTTTATTTATTTTAAAATTTTTTATTTAAGTATTATATTGATTAATTAAAAAAAATTTTTAAAAACAAAACTGATTTAACTTGCTTTAATTTTTCATTATATAAATTTGATAATATTTATAAAACTTTTATCTATTAGCTCATTTGTTATTCAAGATGAATTTTCTTTAAATATGATATAAAAAACAATATTTTACTCACTTTTTGATTAAAATTAATTTTAAGTTATCAAGTTTATTTATTGTTTATAGTTTATAAATAGAACTTTCAAAATTCTATATATATGTTCACATATAATTTTGTATAAACTATTAACTTATGATTTTGTTATAACAATTTATATTTAATTTTTTATTTAGAAATTAAATCTAACTATATTGTTAGAGGTCATGTGGATGATACAATTTATGTGTAATGGTCTAGAACCTAAAAATCTGAAGGTCTGGCATAAAAAATTAAATGTCACAAGGTAAGAAACTATAGATTAAGGCCTAGGTACTAATAAGGGAACTATGTGTATATGATGAATATGGAAAGTTTAAAGTTAATATAGCCTATTGTAAAATTGATAGATTATTTTTAGCTAGAAAAGTATAAATAGTCTACCAGTGTAAACTGAAAAGACAATACTGAATGTGTTAAAACAGTTATCATTGTAAATAAAAATAATAATTAATATTATACAAAAGAAACAAAATGCAAATAAAGAAATACTTATTTTTAACCAAGTCAATTATCATATTTTTATCTTTCTTAAGTGTTCTTTACAGGAGGTGTTTTTTTTTTTATATCAATTGTAAGTATTATTAGTCATTTGGATTATACAAGGTACTATGGATTAGTAACAGACTTGCTGGATTAACCCATGACAATATATATTCTAATTTTGAATAACTTTTTAATATAAATTGTAATATTATAATTAATTTAAGTTATATTATTAAAAAAATTGATTTTGTTTATTATAAGCAATAATTATTTATAAAACTATAGTTAAATAAGAAATCAATAAGTTTATTATTATTATTATTATTTTAGTTATATAAAATATTCAACATTATTTTTTTTATTCTCTTTATTATAAAATATATTATATACTTTATTTTTTGTTTTATTTTTTTTTTTTTTTAATAAACAGGACAGACCATTTTATTGAAGTTTAATAGACAAGTATATTCATTCGGAGAGGCTATACTCCAGATAAAGTTTACACCTATCTATCATTTGACAAATAAAATACATTGATGAGGATCCTTGCTGTCTGCCAGGTACAATTTCAAAAGACCAGCGTACTCAAAGTGCCACTGGTGTTTCATCCTCCAGAAAAGGTAAAAAAAACGAAGGATGGGGAATGTATCTGAATCTATGGTCATATATATAAAGTGGATTCCAATAAACTAATTAACTATGAAAAAACCCCCTAAAAATAGTTAATAGTAATGAGAATATGTTTAAAGATCTAAATTAGTAGTGTGAAGAAAAGCCGTGTGAGTGATGTCATGTGTTCCTTAGTTTTCAGATGTTACCACCACTATTTGTGAGTTCAAAAAGAAACTTGAGCTGATAGATAAGTTATTGTGCAACTCATACAAGGGGAAGAAACTTTCACTTGAGTCCACACTGTCCAATATTTTTATTAAATATGCTTGTTATAAATGCACTCAGAGTGGTGGTGTTGGTGTGGTACTCCATGTTATCTTGCAATAACTCCCAGCAATATTCATGTATCAGCTTGTTGGTCATTTCAGATGGTGTTATTAACTCCCAAATCAAGTACTGGTGCCACTCAATTTAACTTTACCTAAAGTTGTCTCGGTACTGTGGGAAACTCTTCCATGTCCCTTTGGTGAAATTACTCTCTAGCTAAGTTCCAACTATATATGGGTATGAACTACTCTTGCTGAACAGAGAGGGAGAATTCTTTAGGACGGTCATCTGCGCAGTCAATTTGGTGGGTGGGTTGTGGAAGGAAGCTCCTCTTGATGTGGTTGGGCAATTTTTATCTTCCAAGGTGAAAGGGATTCTATCTCTATGGAAGAAAGGGTTGAGGATAGTGGCGTATATATAGTTGTGTGGATCAATCCAATGCAGTATGTTCTACCTTGCCGCGAGCCCTTTTTATCCTGATGCAGTAAAGTCGAGAGACATTTGCTAGGCCTCTATGTCCTAAAAGTTGAGCTAACTGGTCTTACAGCTGTATATTTCTTCCTCTTTCTTGATGAGAGCCAAAGAAGTGATAGAAAACAGTGTCCTATATTCACCCACGCCAGAACTGTGTGACTTATAGTGGACCCCAGGTTCTTATAGGACTGAGGAAATACATTCAGACATGTGGAGTGACCAATGAGGGCTTGTTTACATTCTTGTACTGACGAAATTCTACTGAACCAATCAAATCATGAGAAACTTTGTGCTACTTGGAATTCAGGGTCAAACTGAAGTAGGCAAAATTTCCCAGAAACGATCAAGAAAGAGCACTATTAGAGTCATAACAGTATAAAAAGAGTGAATGTAGTGCATTCGTGATAGCTCTCTATATCAACCAGACAAACTCTGTAATGTTTCTCTATGAAAGGAGAGATGGTAGAGTATCGGTTCTTCTTCCTTTCAGAACTTTCTTGCCATAAGTAGGAAAGGTATATTCATGACTATTTGGATCACTAGTAGTCGGGTTTTTGTTTGAAGAGAGTGTAAACAAGAGGGAAGGGATAAAAGAGACTCCTGAAAAACTTCTCAGGGTGGTTTAAGGAGAGTAGTTTGATTATTGTTAACAGAAAAGCAAAAAAACTTTTTTATATATCTTTTTTGTGTGTGGTCAGAGGATCATCGAAAAGAGTTTTTTGATATTATATACTTGATTAAATATAAGTAAACTATATATATTAATATAATTTTAAGTTAAATCTTTAATTAAATAGCTTATCTTAATTATAGTTATTATAAATATAATTTTAGATATAATTTATTATTTTATTAATAGTTCAAATAAAAACCTTACTAATTTTTAATATTATTGCTTATAAATTAGTATTATAAAATACTTTTATGAGTATTAATAAAAATTAAAATCCAATTATTTTATTTTATATTTAACTTTTTTATTAAAGATTTTTTTATATTTTTATCTTTTAAATTTTCTTTGATTATTTTTGCTTTTATAATTATAATATTAATTTTTTTACCTAAACTTAAGAATATTTTAATTATATTATATATATATATTTATAGTGCTGACCATACTATATAACCTTTATTTATTCTTTAATATTCAGTTTTTTATATAAATTTAATTGCCATGAAAAATATATTTATGAAAGTAAAAATACTATTGACTTAGTATTACAACAAAAACTATAAACTCTATGATAAACTCTTTTCCGTTCACCTGTGACGCAGTAGAATTGGAAAAAAAGCGAACAACAAGGAATAGAACAACTCGGAGTGTAAACTCCAACTTTAGGCCTAACTACAATGAAAACAGTATGTTCAAGGGCAAGGTCAACCCCATCAGAAAAGAAACTCTACCAACGCAGGCAAAGAAACCCAGACTCAACATAATGGCTACAACAACTTCGACAAGTATACTAACAACTGAGAAACCCCCAAGTATCCAAAAAACCGCCACGCAAACCAAGTCCCCTTCCACAGAACAAGGTATCAACAGCAATCTCTGGAGTGAACAAGTAGAAGAAATCATGACTTCTCAGGCTGAAGGCCTACCCACACCTACACATACAATGGCAGAGAAAGAAAAGAACTGTGAGGACCCGAAACAATGCCTACAGAAGAAAGAACCGCAGACTCCGATGTTGAAATGATGGAAGAAGACAAAACCCCACACACCGAGGAAATATATAATACAGACCTATCCTCTCAACAAAACCTTGGCTGGCAGAATCCTAGAACCAAATTACAGAGATTGCGCCCAAGGTCCCCTTTTGACCCAAGTAGCAGATATGGCTGTACTAGATGTAAAGTGGGAATCAAAGCACAAGATATTCCAGGAGACACCAACACAAAAAAAATAATTTTCTTGA